GACATGAATGTGGTGAAGGACATTGCTTTGCCATATGTCTTCCCTTCAGACAATTGAGGCAAAGTCCCTTTTCATACACAAAGGCACGCTTCTCGGAAAGGGATTTCTCTTTGAAGGCTTGACAATAGGCTATGCTGTGTTTCTGCCCATTGCAAGCTGAACACTTAACTTGTGTGGTAGTGGTATGGACTGATTCTGATTTGCCAAAATTCCCAGGACTGTACGACTTTGGTTTCTTGTTAAAGGGCTGAAATTTTCTTTGATTTCCATCAAAGGAAGTTAGTTCAGTAGTTGTTGCTCTGAGGTCAAGAAATTCAAGGAATTTGGTATAGGAAGGTACATCCTTTTCTGCTTGTGTAAATTTTTGCCATTCAATCATTGTTTGGGAATCAAGTTTGGACTCGCCCAATGTTGTCATAAACCTATCAAAGTCAAGCTTGTCTTGTGCTTTCAATGATCTTAAATGATGCTGGAAAGTGTCATGTAACTGTCTCAGTGCTGAGCTTGAGCCATCTTTAACTGGTTTGGCATTTAGCAAAGCTCTAGCATGGGCACGATGGATAATTTGGGGGCGATCAAAACGAGCCTGGAGTGCTGCAATAGCTTCAGGGTAAGCTTCTGCAACTGCATCGATTCCTTCTATTGCATCTCTAGCCCTTTTAGTGACAAGGGATTTCAGAAGATACTGCATGCGAAGTTGATTATCTAATTTCTTCGAGTTATGTATTGTCGCTTGAAATTGTTGCCAATAAGACTTCCATTTAGTGGGTTCCCCATCAAATGTAGGGATATTGAGTGGAGGAAGCTTCACAGTTTTTTGTTCATTTACTTCAGAACTTTCTAGCGCTTTGACTTTATTTAACAATAAGTTAAGTTCATGCTGTTGTTGAGTGTTTTTAACTTCGAGCTCCTTATTTCTGTTTTCCTTTTCAATTTCAAGCTCTTTAGTTTGCTGCATTTGTTCACGGCGATGTTGCTTTATGAGTACAGATAATTTCTCTTGATTTGACTTAATTTTGTCAAAATAACTAGATAAAAGACCATTCCAATTTCCGCCATCTACACCATCTAAATCTGGTATAGACGAGTCAATTTCACTTGTAAAACTATCAAGAGATTTCTCACATTCAGAAATTTGATTTCTGATATCGATAAGATCTTCAATATCGCTTTCATTAGGCTTATCAGTTGCTTCTTAAATATTTGCAATTGTTTTGTTTATGTTAGTCACAATACGATTCCACTTTCGTTCTATAATTGCTTTCTTATCTTTGCTATCAGATGATTTTGTTTCATGTGAAACCTTGGTAGATTGAGTGTTCATAAAAAATACGAGTTTACTTACAGTTTCTCTGATCCGATCGTCATGAGCATCCAGCTCTTCGTAGTCTTTTGCGATCAGTTCTTCATCCTTAGGATCGATTTGAGCGTTGGCCAATAAATATATTTCCTGAAATTGATTATCCAAATCACGAAGTTCCTTTAAGTATTGTTCAGCACATACAATGTCGAATTGTGAGCTTTCGATCTTTTGTACTAGTGGTACGACTTTCTTTATAAGATTGGTGATTTTTCGCTTTGTAATGCTTCGTTTCTGTGCTAGCGTTTCACGAGATTCTTGCGACATGTTTACGTTCTACGATTTGTCTTGTTTCAAAATGAGTCAAACGACGCCATTCTTTCGCTGATTTACATCCGTCTTCGAAGGACCATAATAATAGATGCGATTGTTTACTTGCTTTTAACTGCCTAGCTAGCAGTCCTTTGTTTTACCCAAGAAAAACAGCGAGTAACCGAGGTAAAACTTATATTTTCTTTTCCTACAAAACATGTGTTCTTAAGAGCATGCTTACTGCGCATGCGCTTGCTAAATTATGCTAAATACATATAACGCGTGTCCATTTTCATTTATCTCATTACAAGTAATTGCCAAAAGGTAGAATAATTAAGATGAAACTGTAAAATAATTAATATAAACATGACAAAATTACAAGGGAATTTTATTAATTGTGCAGTTTGTATAACAGGAATGGGCTTTGGGTACATATTCGAGCAACTATATTCAAAATGGCGGTTCAAAAAATGTGAGAGTTAATTTTTTCTTTTTGGAGAGAAATTTCGATATAAATGTTTGGAAATGAACGCGGCGAAATGTTTTCAAGGAAACTTGAACAGAACACTGAGTACGATGCGGTTTAAAAGGAATGAGTGAGTGAAATTCGTAATTTTGTCATGCAAATAATGATTAACTATATACCGTATTTACTCGATTGAGCGGCCGCCCCAGATTGAGCGCCGCATCTGAAGCTCTGAAAATTCAAAGAGCGCCGCGGCGCTCAAACGTGTAAATACGGTACTATGAGAATATTTACATATATGTACAAACTACTGGTATATTTGAAAGAGTTCTTTAAGAATAGTCTTAATGAGCGAGCAATAAAGTTTGGTTGTCACAGTTTTCTACTTTATGTAATCTTGCAAATTCTCAGGATTTTTGACTTTATTTATAATAATCTCTAAAATCTAAAAGTCACTTTTTAGTTATCGTTTTCAGGAATACAATTCGCTATGAGTTTACACACGAGATCTTGTCGCCAGAACAGTCGATCTGGAATGGAAATATGATTGAACGATCCAGAAGAATTTCATTAATGCTGCGTTGTCAACCAGAAACTAGTTCCGACGTCACATAAGTTATGGCGTCCTGTTCAGTAAGTATAATGTGTTTCTGATATAACGCTATTTTATCTGCCCCTGTATATCCGCCATTCGCCTACCGTGTTACTGCAACATTGATACGTAACATGACTGTCATCATACGTAACATATCCCCCCCCCCCCATCAACTCTTATTTTAATTTAATGGTTTGTATATGTGGTTAGATTGACATTGTATTTATAGGCCGTGGGCCATCAGATGAAATTCTTTCGTTTCGTGGCACCCCTCTGGGTAGTAGAAAACTTTACATAATCCTAATTATTAATACTGCATATATCCACAAAAAAAGTTACCCAGAAAGACACCTGCCCACATTCTCGAGATTCCCTATCCAAAGTTTTCAAAATCTTCATATTTTGGCCGCGTTCTGAGCGATGGTATTTAGTGAAATTTACTCTTTCCAGTCCTTTTATGGCCGGGTTCAGGCCAAATTCAAGGAACTTTCTGGCTGCAAGCAGACTAACTATACCAATGTGCTTTAAAATGGCAGATTCAGCATAATTGTGCCTAATCGTCATTGGGGCATGCGATTGTGGAAGGATTCAAAAGATTTTGAAATATAGATCCTCAGTAACGCGATTTCCCGCATTCTGAGCGTACATTTTATGCTATTCCGTACACTGTAGAAACAACGCAGTTATGTGACTCCTAAATTCAATTTAAAATACTTAACCTAAAATACTGCAGGCTACAAGAAAACAAAACTTCGTACTTAAAGCATAAAGAAGCATACAGATTACCTACACTCTATATACCATACTCCTAAAACCAATTGAGAATAATGGAAAGTAGATGCGTGGCCACTTTTTTCTGTGTAAGCACAGTAGAGAAACTAATCAAGCGTCGCCTAAATTATATTTCCAACAGCAGAACGTCGCTCAAGCGAAATTGTTCAGACTGCACAAGTTCTATTATCTTTAACCAGCGGGACGAATATCGCTCCGTTGCCATGCAGCCCATGGGAAATGTTTTAGACATCGTTAGTTTACAATACAATAAAATACAATACAATACATTAATTTCCGGATCTAATGTTGAATCTTCGATGGATTTGCCATACAAGTATTCCTCGTCATCAGATGTAATGTCGGAAACTGTTTTTATCTCGGCGTGCGAGATGAAAGGAGGGACTGCCGACAACACATCAAGAAACGAAATACGCCCACTTTTCGTTGTTGCCGAGTTGGCTCCGCATAAACATTACTTATATCCAATTAAATCTATCGAATAGGAATCGTTAATGTCATGTTTATTTATAAAATCAACATTCAGTCTGGAAATTATTTATAACATAATTACTACATATCAGATTTGATTGACAGGCACATCGATTTTGACCAATGGGAATTTGCGTTCTGTGAGCAACGCATATTTCGTTTCTTGGTATGTTGTCGGCAGTCCCTACTTTCTCCCGAGGGACTTCTCGCGGTCTAGCACTTGCACAGATCCGTGCACTGCAGGCTGGAGCTCAGATTTAAAGCAAGAACACCTCTGTGTTCCACAGTGTCTCTTGCAGCCGCAATGTACAAATTCGAAAAAATGGTCACTAATATCACAGGAAAGAAGTCAAGATTCTTCGATCCGATAACGGCGGTGAGTACACCTCTAAAGAATTTGTTAATTACCTTAAAGAGAAGGGAATCCTTCACCAACTTAGTGTACCTAGAACTCCCCAGCGGAATGGAGTGGCAGAAAGGATGAATAGAACTATTCAGGAAACTGCACGATCTATGATACATAATGCTGGACTGGATACGAAATTTTGGGCTGAAGCAGTATGCACAGCAGTTACTGTTAGAAATCGTTGTCCTACAGTAGCAGTGAACAATATGACCCTATATGAATGCTTTAATTGTAATATAACAAACGTGCTTCACCGAACCTGCAGGTACGTTTGGTTTTTATCCCATACACCGAGCCATGCACACATTTGTAGCTCTTCGCGATATATTCGTCGATGTTTTGTCAACATTTTCCCGGCCAAAAAAATCACTGGGCTCTTAATACTTCTTTATCTACGTCAAGATTTCCTTTATTGCATTTTTTCTTTGGTTTTTCTTCAGTCTCAGTATGTTAGTCACCGAAAAAAGTTCTTTAAAGTTTAGGTTTATCGGCTAAATCTTGTCTGCCATATTTGTTAGTGTTATTGCAACGTGAGCAGTTTGGCGGGTGATTTCGGCGAAAAGCAGGTGAGTTCGGGCAAAAAGCAGGTGAGCTCGACGACATGCTCACCTGCTCTAAACCAATCAGAAAGCCGCTTTTAACACAGGTATGGGAATAGAAACCGGACGTGTCCAATGTTAAAGTGTTCGGATGCAAAGCATACATGCATGTTCCTAAAGAAACCAAAAAGAAATGGGATTCAAAGACCAAGAAATGTATATTTGTTGGATATAGTATTTCAAGCAAGGGATATAGACTTTATGATCCTAAGACTCGGAAATTACACATATCCAGGGATGTTTTATTTGATGAAGATGAATTTATTCAACAGAAGAAATTTATGCAAATTGTAAACTTGAATGATTCCCTCCCTGAAGACCAAGAAGAACCACAAGAGAACAGACCATCTTCCGAGCATGTTATTTCAGGGGATCAAGACACAGTTGATCATGATGAAGGTACTGAAGTACCGAGCATCAATAGAGAAACCGAAGTGGAGCAGCAACCACGACGTTCAAAGCGCAAACGAGAACCACCAGATAGACATACGCCCGTATTCTAAAAGCTCACTCACACTCACACTCAATGAGTGGAGGTTCAATCCGAGGTTCTCTTTAGCGTCAATGTTGCTTTTGAATAGCTGGAGGGGTAGTGCCATACCTTACTATGTGACTGCTCACCCTCCAGCTATTCAAAAACAGCATTGACACTCAATAGAAGCTTAGATTGAACCTCCACTCATTGAGTGTGAGTGTGAGTTTGAGTGAGCTTTTAGAATACGGGCGATGGTGTAGTAATTACTGGCAATTGGTGGCAAATTAATGTTGCATGTATTAATAGTGAGTGCAGTCCAGAAGAGCCTACAACCATAGATATAGGAGACCTAGATTGCTGACTCTAATGTTTTCTATAATGCACGCGCGTGACACTCATGAGCATTCAAAATGGCGGCTCAACCGGGCAAAAATCATAGAGCGAGATAGGGAAAAACCATGTTTTTTGCATTTTGCG